AAGTCTTGCTGTGAAAAGGAGAAGAAACAGCCTAAGATTTAGACCCTGGGCTAGCTTGCTTGCTTCCTTCCTCCCTCCCTTGTGCGCACACATACTGTACACACACACACACGTTCCATCACTCACACACATGTGCACATACACATGAATATGTGGCTTAATTCCTGTGTTTGCAATAGGCAGATGTTGCCTATGACTTCTTTCTTGTCTACAATAAAACAATGGCTAGTCTTACTGAATCTGTGGAGCTTCTGCTGTTAGCTAGTTACAGAATGGGGCTGCAGTTTGGGAGAGCCAAGATTCATTGTTGTGTCTGGTATGAAGTCTAACAACTTTCATTGCAAAGTTGTTCATACTCTGCTTCAAATCTATAGTTACAGGCTCTTTTGAATTAAAAGAATCTGACTGTAAGGAAACAAAAAATCTGTTTTGATTGCAGTGGTAATAAATGTGATAAATGAACAAACATAGCTCTAAGCGTATTGCATTAGTTTCTATGAAATTGGGTGTATTTTACCTCCCATAACTTGTCTACAAATTTCATCCCAATCTTTTGAAAAAAAAAATGTTATAGAGGTTTCTGCACTTTCCCATCCTAAAATAGGGGGAATATACAGTATAAGTTTTCTGTATCTTTGCTCAGAGTCAGAGTCACACTGAACTACTTTCAGAAAGACCCAGACTAGATTGAGCTATTTCAAAACTTAAGATATGTCCTCTGCACATCTTTAGTTGTTATAAAGCTCCCTATTTTTAGAACAAAATTTAAAAATTAAAATTGCATTCAAGTGCACATGTACTAGGGAGCAGATACACTGAACTTAGTGAAATGTTGAAAAAATATTTGAAATACTCGCTTTCTTGTATCTGAACAAATGAACTGTTTATGAGTCATGCAGCAAACACTTTGAAAGAATATTGTTACATGATTGATTTTGTTTTGCAGGCTAAAGTGAATAATTCCAGTCTGATTGGTTTAGGATATACTCAGATTTTGAAGCCAGGTATGTACAGATGGAATGTATTTGATATGACTGATTTTTTTTTTTAATTCAAACCTTGCTTTGCCAATAACTGTGAATTGTTGTATGCCAGTTGTATGAAAACTGTGATGAAAACCAATCAGTTCTTCCAGGCTGTAAATTTTCATTTAATTGTGGAAATGTTATCTTCTACCCTTGCTGAAGACGTGGAAGTTTTTCTTCATATTGTAAGAAATTAAAAGCAATCCTTTTTATCGGGACTGTCCAAAGTATTTGAAAGAGATACTTCACAAGGTGCAGGTGTTTAATTAAGTACCTCTCTCTGGATTTTCAAAGGAAAGCTCATACAGCTGTTTTGGACTTGTCCCTGCTGTCTGTGCAGGTGCATATATGCAGAGTGACTTTACTTCACTAGTGTTCTCAGCAGAAGTATTGTTAGTACATGTGAATGCACACATACTCAAACAAATAAAGCATTCAAAACAGCATAAGGAGATCTGCAAAATATGTAGCTTCTTTAACGATTCAGAGAACAGGTACTTTGTTTGCAGTAATGCATGTTGCAAAACACCTTTTTTGAATGCTTTCAACAGTCCTACTTTTTATAAAGTTTCATGGATAAAGGGAACCATATTTATCTTTAGGTAAATATATTTCTCCACAGACGTAAGGGTTTTATTATTTTTTTAAATAGGTATATAGTCATATAACTTTTTACATTATAGGTTCCTTTTTATTGAATCTTGCAGATCTTACATATAGGACCACAGAATTTTTGAAGAATAATTTGTTGGGGTGTAAAATCCTTCTGACAGCCTGTTTGGTATAGTGGTTAAAGGCACCAGGCTAGAAAATGGGAAAATGTGATTTCTAGTCCTGTAGGAAAGCCAGCTGAGTGATTTTGGGGCCAGTTGCTTTCTCTCAGCTTCAGGAAGAAAGCACTGGAAAATCAATTCCAAAAATGCTGCCAAGAAAACCACATGGACTTGTTCAGGCAGTCACCAGGAGTCAAGACTGATTTGAAAGTACCAAAAAACAAAATAAAAAAAGCACTTCCTAATGAATAGCATGTAATGTATGCTATTTAAAGGAATTTTCAAGAGAGAGTCATATCTAACCAAGTTAAAAAAGCATCTAAACATATAAAATTAAGTTCTTGTGTAAGCTAATGTATTTCATTTTTAGTTCCTGTGATGACTTGCTGAAAGCCAGCAAATGCTACTCTCTATGAATTCATAAAATTATGTGCTGGTGTATCTATGGTTTATCATCAAATTAAATCTAAATAGATAGGAATCATAGACATTATTCTGGTCAGTCCTTAACATTATAAGTCTTTCAGCAATTGAGTTGAATTCATTGGGTATCAGGAAAGTTAATGTCTCTTTCTCTCCATAGATTCCTTTTTATAGAACTTCAATATTTTTTCTAATCAGGTTCTTGAAGTGTCCTTGCAATGCTTAGAAATTAATGCTAATAACTTTTCTCTTACTACTTCCTGCTCAGGTATCAAACTGACGTTGTCTGCTTTATTGGATGGGAAGAACATTAATGCAGGTGGCCACAAACTAGGTCTAGGACTGGAATTCGAAGCATAAAAGAAGGGATTTTATCATCACTAATTCTGAAACACTATACAGCATAGCTACCTTCTGGATTTAGTGTATTTTTCAATGTTTTATGTCTGGGATGCAATTATTGCTGTGTGTCAGTCATATTGAATCTGGTTAAGAGCATGTATTTTCAGAGAAAGATGAAAGTACTTTCTCCAGTTCCAGGCATTTGGGGTATATTGTTGGATGGAGCTTCATGCTTATCAACTCTGATATGAAGGAATGACCTTTTCTTAAAATGATGATTGTAATGGAAGACACATCTGAAATTCATGCTGTGAAAATGCTGATTCATCATAGGATGCAGAAAATACAATTTTCTGCTATCTAACTCGTCAGGCTTTCATTCTCTAATGGAGTGTTTGCATTTATTCTGCAGGTGCTTAGGCAGGTGCATCACACTCATTTAAGTCTTACTTTTCCCTCCTACAGCTCTCTTTTTACACCGACAGCTTATATTTAGAGTGCTTTAGAATGCTCACTCTGTACTACTTTGGTGTGTAGGAAGTTTGATGTGAGTCAGCCAATTCTACTTAAAATTTCACATCTTTTCCCTTGCACTGATTATTGAAAAGCTTGTACAACAGAGCCATGAACAGAAAAACCATTGTTATTGTAATCCCTTAGTGGCACTGCATTAAAGAAAATGGACTTTGTTTTACCACTTTTTTTTTTTAACAGTTTTAATGGATACATCTTCAGTCTTCCATTTTTTTGTGTGTGGAACTATACCCCCTAATGCTGTACTGGACACCACTTAAAATTAAAGAAAAACAAAATACAACCTCCCTCCAACATAAATAAAACATCTTCATCTCTAATTGTGTCTGTCTTCCTAATTCTGCTCGTTATGATAGAACATGTATTCAAAAGTCACTGCCGTCCAATGTAGTGCATTTCAATGTCCACAACCCAGCGGTCAGAACTGGCGATGAAATCATACAAAAAGGCAATTTGTAAGGATTTGTATCTTCCCATAGGCAAAGTTGTGCATGCTTATTTCTGTTTCTGGAATCAAAGCAACTGAGGATAGAGTACAAAGTGCAAACTGAGTTTTTGGGTGATTCTGGTCAGGTCTTTGGGGGCATCCAGAATAATGGTTTTAGGTAAACATGAAGTAATGTTCTTGGTATTCTTGATCTTGTCTTGATCTCTAAATTATTATATTCTAGGGATCTTTCTTCACCATTTTAGAGTGCTATAAAACCTTTCTAACTAATAGTCCTTCCAAATGGTGAGCCCATAGTTCTAATATGTAAGGTATCGCACTAGATATTTTCCTCAATAAAGAAAAACAGGAGAAGTGTTGGGCAAAATGGGCTTAACTGGCCCTTTGTAAGTTTCTGTGAATAATGCAAGGTGATGTAAATAAAAACCTTGGCAGGAAATAGCTTAGGTCTAAGACTGGAAAAATACTGGAGAATAATTGAATAAAGGATATGAATGTTGGTGTTTTAGAAAGTTAGCCTGATGTAAGAGAGTTGTGAGAGGCCAGTGAAACACTGATTGCCAAGTCAAATATATGATCCTTTGGGTTTATCAGTTATACTTTAAGAAATATGTTTATACACACAATTACTTCAGTTATTCTGAATGTAGGACAGCATCCATGAATTAAATGGCTGTATTTCCTGGGAGAATATTTCTAATTTTGTTCGTGTTGTGCATGTGTACAAAAAGAAAAGCCATAGGTGCATATTAGATACAACTCATCTTACTAGTAGAAAATGGCATTTGCTTTTGAGTAGATATGAATTAGATTGTGCTACAAAATAAATGTTCCCATGTTAAAGTGGCAGTCCGCAACTTGAATTCAGAATTAGATCTATTCTTATGATCTGTATGTTCAGCCTCTGTGGCCAATACTTATATGTGTCTACTCAGAAAAAAAGCCATGTTGAACGTAAAGAGACTCACACGTGAATGAGGTTGCACACTCCCCTACTCCTTCCCTTTCCTCCCGGCCAGCTAATACTGTACTTTCCAGCCTTGGAATAACATCGTCCCCGCTCAGCGCTTCCGCTTTAAGACCAAATGGAGTCCCGCTTTGTACCTTCCAACGCAAATGACGTAGGGTTCCTACCGTCAAAGCCGCAAGAATGCTTTGGCCATTTAGAAGACAAGGTGATTTCGGATTTTTATTAGAATCTGTGAGAGATAGAAACGTGAAGAGTGACACACACCGAGTTTCCTCTTCCAATAGACGTTTCTGCATTGGGAATCCGGAAGTGCTGTATTCGGACGAGAGGAGGCACCACTTCCCAATATAAATAATATCGTGCACCTCTGCGGAAGTTGAGGTTGGGCGAGGGACGTGGCCTTCTCAGGGGAGGGGAGCCCGAGCGCGTTTCGTCAGAGGCTTCCCTTCCTGGCCCACGCAGTTGCCTAGCAGCGCGGGAAGGCGGTGGGCGGGTCCGGGCGAGGCCACGTCCCCCGGCGACGGTATGGCGGCAGCCATGGCGGCCACCGAGCGAAGAGCTAGAAGAGCCGCGACGCGGGAGGCTCTGTCGCTGTCGTCCTTGGCGCGGACGTCGCTCTTTCTTTTGCTCCTGGCCTTGCCGCTTCGGGGCCACCTTCCAACCGGTGAGCAACGAGCGATCGCTCGGCGGGGCGGGAAAGGCGGATAAACGGCGTGCGCGAAGTGCCGATGGAGGAAGCGACGAGTCTGGGGAGCCTTGCCGGGGTCCGGGTGGGAAGATGGGCTGGAGTGAAGTCACGCAGCGGGCACTGCCGCCCCCCACCCTCTTC